ATTCCACATTGAGAGAATTCAGCTGCCTTGGCGGAGGTCTGTGCTCTCCGAGTGCTCTAGTATTATGGATAAATTTGTCCTAAAATGAACATCGTTCGGTTAAATAGCATTTAGGTATAAATATAATTGCACCTTTGTGATTAGCCCTCGGTCTGTAACGTGCAAAATAAATTACCAAATGCGCAACTTTATCAGGGTGGCAGCAAGGTCGCGGGTGTCAATGGCGCCGTTCAAATTTCGTAGCGTTGATGTATAATTAATTATAACAATTAAATTAAGTATCTGGTAACAAGTATGTGTGGGTATAGACGATTTGTTATACAGTAAGTAGTAAGTACAGTTGTATGCAGTAAAATCCTAGAGTCTACTATCCCTTTAACATAAGCATTAACTTTACGATGTTTCTGACAACGGCTATATGAGCTATCTTTCAAAATTGCAATATATCTATGATTAAAGGAATACTTCACTCTAGGTTCTAGGGTTATTTTCAGTTGATTTAGATTAAAATTACGCTACATTAAAAATTTCATGGTTCAATCACCGTTAGAAATATTTTGAAAAATGTTTTAAAACTAACGACTGCAGTTTGATTACAATGACGGTGGCGCCATTCAAAGCGCACTATCTGAAAAGTTGCGCAAATGGACTTTTCAGCCAAGGGCTACAGACCGAGGGTGTTTCTTATTTATAAATTTAAGAGCAAAAGGATTGCAATATTTTATAAACGACATATAGTTTCAGTTATAATATGGATAAATTTGTCATAAAATGAATATCGTTTGGTTTAAAAATAGCATTTAAGTATAAATATAATTGCACTTTTGTGGTTAGACCTCGGTCTGTAACTTGCAAAATAAATTGGAAAATGCGCAACTTTTTCAGGGTGACAGCACGATCGCGGGTGTCATGTCAGCACCCAAAAATGAAAATTTCGAAATTCAATTTTGTTTTATGACAAACGTGAATGCGTAATTATAGATATTTGTAGGTAGGTGCTATTATTTATGAATCTACTGTCATAATATGCTCTTAAATTCTAGAGTAGAGTATCTCTTTAAAGGGATTCTTTATTCTAGGTTCTAGGGTTATCAGTTAATTTAGGTTAAAATTACGCTACATGAAAAGTTTCATGGTTCAATCACCATTCGAAATATTTTTTTTTAATGTTTTAAAACTAACGGCTACAATTTGATTACAACGATGGTGGCGCGACTCAAAGCGCACGATCTGAAAAGTTGCGCAAAACGACTTTTCAGCCAAGGGCTACAGACAGAGGTGTTTCTTATTTATTAATTTAAAAGCAAAAATATTGTAATATCTTATAAACGACATATAGTTTCAGTTATATTATGGATAAATTTGTCCTAAAATGAACATCGTTCGGTTAAATAGCATTTAGGTAAATATAATTGCACCTTTGTGATTAGCCCTCGGTCTGTAACGTGCAAAATATATTGGGAAATGCGCAACTTTTTCAGGGTGGCAGCACGGTCGCAGGTGTCAATGACGCCGTTCAAATTTTGTAGCGTTGATGTATAATTAATTATAACAATTAATTTAGGTATCTGGTAACAAGTACATGTGGGTATAGACGATTTGTTATACATGTATACAGTAGTATACATGTGTAAGTACAGTTGTATGCAGTAAAATCCCAGAGTCAAATATCTCTTTAAGTATATTGCATTCTGTTATTTGTATTCACAGTTACTGTTATAAGTGGCATACTGATGGTCATCCTGTTTGTGTCTGAGCTTAACTACTACCTGACCACAGAAGTACATGCAGACCTATTTGTTGACACATCACGTGGACAAAAGCTCCGGATTAACATGGATGTTACATTCCCGAGGGTATCATGTGCCTGTAAGTTATGAAGTGTGTATACAATATATATATTATACAGTGGACCCCCGAGATACAAATTTAATTCTTTTCACATATTTGTTCGTATCTTGAAAAGTTTGTATCTCGAGCCCTATATAGGACGTATTTAGCAATTTACGTACAGCAAGTGCAATCATGAGAGCACAACCACCACATTCAATGAGTCACGTACTTAAACTGGATTATTGCACCAGGGAGAAATACTCATTTTACATACCAGGGTAATCCATCGGTAATCCAGGGTACCAGGTTTATTTCTTTTTAATTTCTTTTTAATTTTTTTCTGTTTAGGGTTAGGGTTAGGGTTCTAGGTGTAGGGTTAGGGTTAGGGTTGGGTAAGACTAATCCCCGGGCACTCTGTGAGGGTGAGCCCACAGTGTAGGAGTGGTCGGGTAGGGTAGGCCTAACTCTAACCTTAACCCTAACTCTAACCCTAACCCTAACCCTATCCCTAACCCTAACCCTAAACCTACCCTAAACCTAACCATACCCTACCCGACCACCCCTACATT